CTTGCTGTCATTTCAACATCTTCACGGCACGACCACCAGGAGGTGCCATCATAGGAAACCACTCCCTTTGCTCGTCCAGGAGACACGCCCTCCTCCGGCTCACTCATGCCTGGAAAACGGTGCCACACCGCGCTGGCCGCAGGTGCCACAACCTGCGATTTAAGACATGCAGAACCTGCCAGGTGCCAGTAAGCAAAGCGCGACGGAACGAGATACGGCAGAAAATGTAACAGGAGAGCCGGCACTCCAGCTCACACCGCCTTTCCGACGTGTGGGACGGTCAGAGGGTGCCTTTCTCAGTGAGAGGGCATCAAGGACTTGTGTGTTAGGGGTCTGTTGCTATGTAACCCCACCCGAGCTTTAAAGGCTTAAAACAACAGTCCTCTGCTGAATACAGCACCTGCAGTTTGGGGAGGCTCTTCTTTGCTCCGTGGCGTGTCACCTGGGGTGGCTCAGTTGGAGCACCCACTTTCATGAAGGCTGAGTCCTCATGGCCAGCAAGTGGGTGCTGGCGCTCAGCAGCCCTGAGTCAGGCTCTGGGCCAGGGCCTCAGGGTCTTCATCTGGGCCTCTGCACGCTGCTGGCCCTGCTCACAGGGTGGTGTCTGGGCTCAGGAGTGAGCACCACCTGGGGGAAGGAAGACTGCTTGCTGTATCACCGTTCACTGGACGAGAGAGAGAGAGAGAGAGATGGAGATGAGGAGAGGCTCATTTCGGGGCCTGGTGACCCTGGTGCTGGAAACGGCTGCTTAGAGCAGTGAGCACCACCTTTCTGACCTCACGGACCACCAGTAGCCCGTGGACCACCGGTTGTCGACCGCTGGTTTAGAGGATTGTGGGTTTATTGTTTTTTTTGTTTTTGTTAATCCCCATCTGAGGATATTTTTTACATTGTTTTTTAAAGAGAATGAAAGGGAGAGAGGAAGGAGTTGGGGAGAGGGAGAGAAATATGGATGTGAGAGACACATTGATTCCTTGCCTCCTGCATATGCCCTGACCGGGGCCGGGGATTGAACCTGCAACTCTGGTATGTGCTCTTGACTGGAAATCGAACCTGAGACTGGCTGGTGCGTGGGCTGACACTAACCACTGGCCAGGGCTAGAGGGTTGGTTTTTTAATCTTGAGTTGAAGATCTATTTTTTCAGTCATGCTTCTGCTTCTAGTAAATTACCCCAGCACTGCTGGCTGCAGAAGTCACCTGTGAGCCCTCGGTGTGCAGAGAAGCAGCTAAGGTTTGTAGAATTCCCCTGAGAATTCTGTCTTTACCTCAGTTGTAGCGAAAGGTCACACAATTTCCCGTTCCTGGATCTGGAGGTGGTAGAGTAATCAGATCACCACCTGTCATTTTTCAGTTTGGGGTTAGTCTTCCTAAAATAAAGATCTGGATTTTTCTCTTGGTATGAGGTAGAATGGTACAACAAATTCATTGATTTGTTGTTAAAAAGAGTAAAAAGGAATGCCTCCTATGGGCTGGGCATTCTCTTAGAACAAAGCAGAGGTCCCGTACTCCTTAACTTACATTCTAGTGAGGACAGACAGACAGTCAACTTAATACAAATAAAATGATACAGCTGTAAACTCTTAGCAGAGGGGTAAAGTAGGCAATGGTTTTACCAGGCTGAGGGGTTGCTGGAACTATAGTTGCAAGTAGTGATCGTCGTGAAGTAGACGTTTGAGCCAGCCAAGGCTTCAAGGTGAGATGGCTCCCAGGGGTGTGTGGGGAGCGGCCTTCCTGCAGCGGGAACAGCCAGGCGAGGCTGGGGCCAGTGCACAGCTTGTGAAGGAAAACGAAGCCCATGTGGTGGAGGGGAGTGCGCAGGTGGGACGCGGCCGGGCTCCGGTGCAGGGAGGAGTCAGGGACAGGAGGCCTCTGCCCTCGGAAGGCCTCCCCAGGACGAGGTGCAGAGCCGCCACAAGGCCGAGCAGAGGGGCACGGGGCGGTCTGACCGAGGTCTCGGCAGGCCCTGCACTTGGCAGGTGGGAAGAGCAGCCCCGCCACTCACTCCTGTGCCCTCTTTGGGACACAGGGACCTTTGAAAACCCTGTGAGATATTTGTTTTCCCCGTTTTACACGTGAGGTGGGGGGGTGGTGGTTCAGAGCCACACCTCTGGCTCCGGTTTGGTGCTCTCCCCGCTCTTCTGCGTTGAGCCGGAAGGTCAGCCTCACCTACTCGCAGAGTTCATGTGCGGCTCTCAGGTCAGCAGCAGCGGCCACATGTGGGCTGCTTTGGGGGACGAGCGAGAACCAGTTTGATTCTTACCTGCTGTGGTGGCTGGACTTTAAAATTTCCTTGGTTGAACCATAAGAAAACTGGTTTGCAAAGGGCAGAATAGGTTGGGTTTTGTGCCGTGTTTTGCTCAGCTACTTGGTATTGAAATTGGGTATCTGAAATCATATCTTAAGGATTAAGTGGCTTCATAAATAATCCAAAACAGTTGTTGGCTTTTAGCATTTCACAAATGGAAAAGAAAAGTAACAATTCTTATAATACTTTTCCAGACCGTGGGGGAAATTGGAATTACTTGTGTTTTATTAATCTATGCACTCCAGACCTGTTGGCCCGTAACATGAACACGTTTGTTGGTATGAGGATTGTTTTGTGGCTTAAAACTGTTGTGACTCTCGTGGTTTTGAGGAGTGAAGAGCAGCATGTTCTGGTCCTAGAGACATTCCATTTTCCTCGTATTTATTAAAAATACTGAACAGACCAGATTTAAGCTAGTCATGAAGAGTTTGATTAGATTGCCTTATTAGTGTTATGAACTGTCGTCAATGAATGTATGACCATTACCCTAACCTTCCTGTGACTCCGAATCATCCCTTTGCATTATTGGACACTTAATTTTCCCCAAATTAGCAAAAGGGGACATCAAATGATGTAAAAACACTCATGCCAAGAATCTACAAGTCCACACCAACACTAATTGTCTCATATTCTTCTGTCTGTTGTTACTCAGATGGTTAAGTTAGTTTGTGTGGCCATTTCTTAGGGTTCAAGCATTTACAGCTTTTTGAGCTTATCCTTAACTTAGCTTAAGAGAAATTTCATTTCAGTACATAAAAAGTACAGCGAATGGAGGCCAAATGACAAAAGCAACTTAAAAAATAAGTGAAAAACTTTAAAAGATTCTTTGTAAAATTTCTTGCTATATAACCTTTCAAACCTACATCCTGGGCCAATGGGTGGATAATAAAGTTGAGACTCATAGGCTGTTTGGACCCTAATTTTTGCCTGTCACTGACACTTGCTTACGACACTTTGTGGACTCTACAGTGAAGTGTTGTAAAGTTCATTGGGTGAGATCTGAGCCCTTTGGCTGAAAAAGAGTCAAGTGATTGCAGTAGCCGTGGATTACCGCGTGGGGAAGCGGTGACCACTGTCAAACAGTCAGCATCAAGCTGACTCCAGCAGGTGCGGCTGCTGAGTGGTGACGAGGGTCCAGGTGAGATGGAGTGGACCCAACTGGCCCCTACTCAGGGCATCTGCCTGTCACAGCCGCAGCTGAGAAGGGATGTGCCGGATCAGCCATCAGTACAAGGGCTCTTTAAAACTTCCAAGTATTAATCATTCTGTACTGACTTAATTACTAATCATCCATACACCATGCAAATGGCCACTGTGATTGTACCTTTCCTCGCATTTGGAGGCAAATGACTGTACTCTGAAGACTGTTTCTTAGGAACCACAGGCCCCCACTGCCCTCTTCCCCAGCCTCCTGGCCCTCCCCCCCTCCCTGAGCAGGTCTGGTCTCCCTCCTCCGGTGCTTCCCTGAGGGTTATAACCAATGTGGCTTATGTGCCTGGGGAATCGAATCAAGCTCACCTGCACAATAAGGTACTGATGAGCCAAGTTTCTAAGCCCACGATTAATGGTTTAATGTGTTAGAAGTGTTAAAATAATTATTGCAATATTTGGTATGTGTGTGCATGTGTATGCGTGTGTATTTGTTTGCCTCCAAATACTTTAGGCCCATCAAGAGAACGTACATTGATGAATGATATTATTATGGGTAGAGCGGCGACAAAGAAGTAAATAGGAAATTTTATTTATTTATTTATTTGTCCATTTATCCTCACTCGAGGATACTTTTTCCATTGCTTTTTAGAGAGAGTGGAAGGGAGGGAAGGAGGGGGATGGGGAGCGAGAGAGCGAGAAAGGGAGAGAGAGATCGATGTGAGAGAAACACATCAATTGCCTCCTGCACTTACCCTGACCCAGGGCTGTGGGATCCAACCTGCTACTGAGGTACATGCCGGTGACCAGCAATTGAACCCATGACCCTTTGGTGCACGGGCCGACACTCTAACCATGCCATGATGTGGAACACACTGGCCAGGGCTTAAATAGGAAATTTTTACACATAAATAAAAATAGAAGTATTTGGTAAAATAATTTTTGTTAGCTTTATTTAATAGCCTGCTTTCTGGGATTGTGAAAGGCTAATGCATTTGGCTGTTGATATACAGAGTAATTCTCATTTCATTTGAAGTATCTCCTCATTGGAGAATTTCTGATTTCACTTATCCGAGTTTAGAATTTGCTTCTGTGTATGGTATACTTATCGGAGTTAAGAATTTGCTTCTGTGCGTGGCATATTTGTTCTACGT